TTGTTTCTTTTTGCTTGCATTCCTGTGAGTTACTTGAACATATTCCATTTGGATTTACTTATAATGATTCTGAATATATAAATTGCTTTGTATAGGTTTCTTAGTACTTGCTCTAGGTAGTATCATAAACATACATAGCTTAGCACAGCTTACCAGTGTTCAGGTGGGTTCAGATCGACTAAATTCTATTGATCTGTCTTTAAGCTCGCTGATTCTATCCTCTGTTATTTCTACTCCACTATTGGAGTCTGTCCAGCGAGTTTTTTACTTTAGTTATTTTTCTTTCATTCTATAATTTCCATTGAATTCTTCTTTATAGCTTGTATTTCTTTGCTGAGATTTTTAATTTTTCATTTATTTCAAATGAATTTGTGACCACTTGTTGAAGCATTTTGATGATGGCTGCTTTAAAACCCTTGTCAGGTAATTCCAACATCTGATTCATTTTTGTATTAGTGTCAGTTGATTGTCTCTTCTCATTCAGATTGTAGTTTTCCTGGCTTTTGCCATGATGAGTGATTTTCTATTGTATTCTGGACATTTTGGTTATGTTAGGAGACTCTTGATCCCATTTCAATCTTCTATTTTAGCAGGCAGTCACCCTGTTTAGGTTTAGTATGTATGTTTCAGTCTACTTCTGTGGGTTGTGGTTCCAATGACAGTTTAGTTTTTCCAAGTCCTTGCAATGCTATTTTTGTCTGCTTCATTCTTCTGTTGTCCATGGGGCTCCTGTTTCATCCTTGCTGGTGCTGCCTGCAATGGCAGAAGGCATTTCCTTGAGCTGCTTGTTTTTGCTGGGTGATCTTCTGGGGCAGGGGGACATGGCTGAAGCCAGGGTACCTGAGTCTCCTTATGTCACTGATTCAGTGGAGGGTACGAAGACATAGGGCTTTGCTACAGCTGTTGCTGCAGGCAAATTGGACTTCCTGCTGGTATCCCAGTTCTGGAGTGGGGACTGAGACAGCCTACGGCTTTGCTGCTGCAAGCAGATCCCACTACCCTCTGGAGTTCTGGTTATGGAGCAGGGCTTAGGTCCTCTGTGCTAAGTCTCTGTTGGGCTTACCCATTCCCAGTCTGTGCATGTGTGCACGTGTGTGTGTGTGTGTTTATGTGTCTGTCTCTGTGTGTGTATGGCTGTTGGTGGTTTTAGGTTGCAGGCCTCTTTGGCACCTAGTCTAGGGGTGTGTGAAAGATAAACAGAAAACTGAGAAAACTTCCCATGTTTTTGTTCTTCAAGTCCTGAAGTTCCTCGCCTGCTTTCCTGCCTTCAGAGTCCTTTCATCATTGTCTGTTGAATAATTTCTAGGGTGTTTAGTTCTATTTGAAGGAGAGGAACAGGGAAAAGTGAGTCTACATCATCTTGTTGTGGAACCAGAAGTCCCCTCGTGTAGTTTTAAAATATATTTCTTTTAGTATGAGTGAACTTGAGCACTTTTTGGTAAGTCATAAAGTCATTTTAACTTCTTTTTCTGCATTTTGCTTTGATATTATTTGCTAATTTTTATATTGGGTTGGTGGTCTTTAACATACTGATTTGTAAGAGTTGTTTTCATATTCATTTTAAGTTGCAGATATTTTCCCAAGATTATTGTTTATTTTTTGATCTTACCTTTTTGTTTGCCATGCATGGTTTTTAAAATGTAGTTGAATATATCAATCTCTTCCATTGCTTCTGGGTTTTGTGTCATTCTTGGAAAGGTTGCTTCATGTAAATCCCCCCATATTTTCTTCTAGTACTTTTATGGTTTTACTTTTTATTTTTAAATCTGGTCCATCTGGAAGTCATTTTGATCTTAAGTATGAGGTAGTGTATCCAGTTGTCCCAAAGCATTTATTAAATAGTCCCTCATTTCCCCTCTACTTTGAAATACTTCCTTAAAAATTTGTGGTAGAAAACACATTAAAAATGACCATCTTAACCATTTTTAAGGGTGCACTTCAGTAGTGTTAAGTAATTCACGTTGTGTAATCGATTTCTAGAACTTTTTTTATCTTACAGAAGTGAAAGTCTCTAATCATTGAAGGACAACTCTCCATTGAAATGCTACTTTTTCATCATAGACTAATTTCCTTCTTTGTTACTTTTTGCCTGGACCACTGTAAGAGCTTTCTACCATCACCATAATTCTAATCTGTCACACACACTGTAGCCTGATTCATTTTCCCCATGCAAGCTCCGACCACAGCACTCCTTTATTCAAAGCCTTCAGAAGCCCTCCTGAGCACCACAATTGAGATTAAGCCCCCCTGTCCCATCACGTGTTTCATAGCACCTGGACCTTTTCTTCCTGTCACTTCTCATGATTTGCGGTTTTAATGATCTTCATGATTATGTGACTGCCTTTGATCTCCTTGCTAAACTCCAAGCTTCATGACAGCAGTGGCGTATTCCCCAGTGCTCAGTGTGTGCCTGGTCCATAGGAGGTGCTCAGCGAAATAAAGGAGGAATGACTGCCAGATCTGATTCCAACTTACCCTCTCTTAGCACTCTTGCCCTTCAAGGCAGTCAGGCTATTGAACTTTCTGCCCTTCCTTGAAAAATCCATGGGCTTTCTAATGCTTGGTTCTGGTTTACACCATGTCCTGATTTTACCTTTTAATTTGTGCTCCAATTGTTCCCTGTGCCTGAAGGCCATGCCCTCCCCTCCGGTCCCCACTAGAATTGCTGCCTGATTGACACCTGATTCATCCTTCAAGATTATGGCCCTCTCTGCCACTGGACTGTGAGTTCCTGTCCCCAGGGAGCGGCACAGCTCCTGATCTCTAGGAGGCACTCTTGATTACGCATCTTCATCTGCTCTGGGACTACGAGCACCTTGTGGGTAAGCAGCGAACCTGACCTGTGTGCACGCTTCTGGGAACCTTGTTTCCCAGCATCCAGGGCCTGTCCCAGGGTGAGACTTGGAGTTGGCTCGGGAATCTCCTGGTAACCTAGTGAATGTGTCTGGTCTTGTTGTCAGAGGCCTGAATGTGAACTGGTAGGGCAGGGGCAGAGGCTTCCCTGTCTTCCCCTGACTGTACTCTGTGATGTTTCCTTGCTCACACTCTATCTCCAGCAAGAAATAATGAACAAAAAACACCCTGTCACCTTGCCTCTCCAGCCCGTCTCAGGACCCCCTGTCTCCCTGTTCACTGCCTTAGATGGATCTATTCATCCACCTTCAGTGAGATCATCCTAAAAAGTAAAGTTAGTTCATTCTTTGCTTTCCTACGAGCTCCGAGTCTCCACAAGCCACAGGGCTGGTGGTGCCGAGGATACAGGTGGGCTCCCAGCTTGGCTTAGAAGGCCCTTTGTGCCCTGCCTCTTGCAAACTTCTTCCGAGTCGCCTCCTCCCATGCCCTCTCCTGGCCCTCTGACCCTGCGTGCTGAACTTCTGTTTTTTCAGCCGGGGCAGCCCCTTTCGTGAACATACACTTGCGTAACAGCTTTCCCCCTAACTCATTCTTTCCTTGGCTGACTCTGCTCTTGTTTGGAAACCCAATTGTTTCTGTGGGTAGATAAGTCTTTGTGTAAAGGCACAGAGCAAGGCCAATGAGGATACACTGCAAATAGATAAACAGTTGCTACCTCTGTGGAGGGCAAGAGGCGATCGAGACTGAGGGTGAGAGCTGGTCAAAGGGTACTTTGGCCTGATCTGTAGAGTTTCTAGTTTTTCCAAGGAGATGGGATCCTGCATTTATTACTTGTGAGATGTAGAAACAAACAGATGAACCAGTTCAATACCAGGAATCCTTCCCCCGACTTCCCAGGCAGATGGAGCTGTTTCCTTTTCTGAGATCAAATAGCATCTTCTCCCTGTGTTATAGGAAATATCGTTTTATTATAATTTATTGGTGCCTTTCTCCTTCTAGATGGGGGCCCCCCTTAAAGGTACAAATTTTAATTTATGCTCCCGGTGCCCAGCAGAGTGCCCAGCCCAGAGCAGGTGCTCAGGGAGTACTGAATCCAATGCCTTGCCTTTTTCAGTGGGCTCCTTGCACAAGCACTTGCTACAGGACAGGCCTGATGCTAGTTTTAAACAGCTGATCAGTTTTCCCAGTCTCCCAGGATGAATGTCTCTGGGAGTCTGAAATGTGGGGAGAGGAGTCTAGAGGCCCTTGGGTTGTGTCAATATGAGGACAGGGTTGGATTCCACACCCGCCCCCTGCCCCCATGCCCCAAGGCCAGACTCTGGTTCAGTGCTACTCTCTGTCACTTGACATGCTTCTGAAGCCATTGCCTCCTCAGCAGTTAACCTAAGGGCAACAGCTGTATCCCCAAATGTTGAACTTGTTGAGCCCAGCCCTGATTTGTGTCTTTAAGATGGAGAGGCCAGACCCAAGAAACAGGCTGTCCTCATAGTGTGGGCCAGGGAGGCTAGACTTAGGGGACACTCAGGCCAGCACAGAGTGTCCCAGGCATAGGGGCTGGGGTTGAGCAACTGCCTGAGGGACTTGAAGGCACCTTGAATCTTAGTTTAATGGTCTGTAGTTTTCGCAATTTTCCAGAGAACTCTGAGCTCCCAGGTCATTGGATCCCTCTTAGATCATACCGATTATTGCCCATGGGCAAAAAGGCAAAGGAGTGGCCTTAATGCATCAACTGGATTGGGACAAGAGAGTGGAAGGGGATGGCTTTTAGAGTTGGTGAAGCGTGAGCCACGTGGTCAGGGCAACCCTTTACATTTGGATATGCAAGTGGCGAGTAGGCTGCAGGAGGGGCTGGGTCAGTCTTTCTTCTGGGAATGCCCCCAACCGCCCCCGTCATCAACCTCGAATAGAACAGTGTTCCTGAGGTCTTAGGGCAATGACACTGGGTACTTGGGCTCCGGAAGAGAGAAAGGTGATGGTAGCAGGAATTCAGTGAGCAGCACTCCCCCCACCCCATCCTGTGTCCTCCCCATTCCTCGCATCCAGGCCAACTTCCTCCCAACTATCCACCCACAACCCACCACGGGATTTAGAATTGCTAAAAGGATGCCACACCCCTTTCAACCTCAGTGAAGAACACCTCGAGTCCATCTCTTTGTAATTAATTTTTATTTTTATTTACAACAGAATTGGTGGCTTTATTCCTCCATCTTTAGGAACAGTTGGCATCAGCAGCCAGATGGAAAGTCTGCCGTGAAGTCAAACTCATTCTGCCCCAGCCACAGCTCCGGCAGCTCATTGGCTCGGTCCAGTCCCAGTTCCACCACCAGCGACATCAGCACCTCCTCATCCACCGGGTCCGAATCGATGATGGCAGGGCTCTGGGCACCGGCAGAGGGAGAGAGTGACCCCGCCCCTCCCGCCTGAGCCCCGAAGCCCCAGTTTTGCAGGGGCCCTGCCTCCCCGGGTTGGCCCGGAGCAGTGGAGGCGGCGGCGGCAGCGGCCATCCCGTGATATTGGCTATTAAGTTTCTGCAGCTGCATACTGGCCAGCAGGTGAGGGGCGGGGTGCAGGTTGAAGGGTGGGGGCTTAGTGGGAGGGGTGGCAGTAGGAGAGCCTATTGGAGATGGCGATCCCGAGGAACTAGCAGGAGCCCCACTGGCCTTGGTTCCATTGGAGGTTACTCCGGGGTAGTGCAGAATGGCCACTGCTTTGCGGTCTTTCACCCCCAGGTTAGAGTAGGCCAGAGAGCTCATCTCTTGGTTGGCATCCTAGAAGACAGAGACAGGCACAGTATGGCAACCCTGCTCCTGGCTTGTCCCTCGCCCTTCATCAGGGGCTAGTGGTGGGGAGGCAGCAAAAAGGCCCCCCTGGAAAGTTAGGCTTGAGTCTCCTTTTGCCATCATGGCTCTGAGCACTGTGCTCTGGCCTGAATTCCCAGGCTGGGCACCCACTTTCCTAAGTGACTTTGCTGCATTTATCTCCCTCCCCTGACTCTGCCTTCAGCTCATCCTTCTACAAAGGGGCTGTCACTGTCCCTCTTCTCATCCTCACTTCCATCTTCTCAGTGGGGTGGTCTTTTCCAATTCTACTTCTCTGCCCCCTTCCCCAACATCTTTCAGTACCCCTAATGGGTTCGTTGTGACCCTTTTTTTCAGTAGAAACTATTTTCATTCCCCCTGGAGAAAGCCCCGCTGTCTCCTGGCTGCTGAAGGACACCAGCTACCATAGCTCAGAGGGCCTCCCACATGGCCCCAGACTAGGTCATCTTTCCAGGCTTCCGTGTCTTCATCGGTAAAATGGCCCAAGTTACCTCCTTTGCAGGTGAGGTGCCACCCTTGACATCAAGTGCAGGCCTTGACATAGTTGGCATTTCAGAGCCTTGGCAGAAGGTAGATAAATTGGTGGGACGTGATGCTGCCAGCTGGAGCTGTTGTGCTGTGTGTGAGGGAGAAGAGGTGATAAGGGCAAAGGCTTTATTGACCAAGAAAGTACCAGCAAAGCCCGAAGCAGGGCAACTCCACACAGCTACACGGCAAGGCTGGTGACAGGATTAGACTCAAGACCAGAGACCACCTGAGCACAGGGAGGAGATCCAGCTGGAACTTTCGCCAGAGGCAGGAAAGGGGCTGGATTCGTCCAGGTGCTGCCCAGGCAGCCAGCCACCCAAGTATCATCAAAGAGGGGACGCGTGTGACTGTTTCCTCATGCAATTGATTTCAGGGCCCCAAATGGGGGCTGTGGTGGGGGTGAGTGGCACTGTTCCTGATCCTGAGGGCAGCAATGTCCCTGAATAAGTAGCGCACTGTCTCAATGGGCCACTGGCATTCAGGCTGGAGAGCTGGGGCCTCCGCTAGGACTGGGAGAAAGTGGAAAGGAGTCGGGATGACAGAAGGCTGCAACCCAGAGAAAGAATAGGTCCTCAAAGCAAATGTCTTGGGGCTCCAAAGTCCTGCCTCAGGACTCAGAAGCTGGACTGATCAGGGTAGTCTGGGGGCTCCAGGGCAGCCAGAGAGCAGCTAGGGATGTCTGTTTCCTCCACACCACAAGCCCCCTCCAAGACAGCCCTAGCAGCACTGGGCTTTCCCAGGACACCTGCCCTGAGCCCAGCCACACTCATCTGTAGTGACAGGTGGGCATAATTCTTCCTGGAGGGAAACTGAAGCACAGAGGTTCAGTGGCTTTCCCATCAGGCAGCAGTGGTTCTGGGAGTGGGATTTAGCGCCCTATGCCCACATGCCTCACCTGATGGCTGGCCAAGTCATCATACCTAGAATGATTCCCAAATAATTCATCCCCTAATTCAAGTGCCAAGAGCTAAGGGGGAAAGAATATCCCCAAACCAGAAAATTAAAAAATCTCTGAAAACTCTTAAGTTATTTTCCTAGAAGCCTTCAAAAAAAAAAGCCCCATATATTCTAGCCTTCATGATGAGTTAGAAATGTAGGATTTCATATTTATAAATACCTTTTGGCCCAGAGAATCTTCAGGATCTTAAAGAGTCATCTTTCCAACAAGGATAGAATTCTCTGTGACACGGCATCCTCCTCCTCCCCCCAGTGGTCATTAAGAATCTGCCCAGACACTTCTAGAAAGTGGCCACTTACTACCTCTCTTTATTATCTTTGCACCACTTACTTGTAGGGGAGGGAGGCAAGAAAAATAGAAAAAAGAAGAAAGGGGAGGGGGAGAAAACATGAGAAAAAAATCTGTTGCTGGGTCCACCACCACTGCTTGATTGGAGCCCTGTTTCTTCTCGAGGCAAACTGAGAGTATTTCAAGCCAGTGATCACGAGACAAGGAGTCTAATCCATGTCGTCTTCAAGAGCCCAGCACCTTCAGGATCAAGCAATTTTCATGTCCTTAGAAAAATGTCTGGGGAGGGGCGCCCATCTTTTCCTGTTTCTATTCAGCCCTTCTTCTTTATGACACCCGGTACCCGAACGTACAAAAGAAAAAAAAACAGCAGCAGTAAGAACAAAAAGAAACAGAAAGAGGAGGGGAAAAAAAAAGAGAAGAAAAAAGAGAGAATGCGAAAAACAAAGTATCTGTGTTCTGATATCAGTTCCTGGGGAAGACTATTTTACCATGTCTCCCCCTTCAGGCTGTGAGCTCCCCTAAGCAGGACTCTTGTTTCCATTCAGATCTGTCGCCTCCCATCACCGCTTCCCCTCCACCAGCCCTGACCCCCGGCCTGGGTCTGTGCTCCGTAGGCACTCAGTAAGTGTTGTTGAATCCGTCTGAAGAAGCAACCGCATTTCGATCGGAATCCCTGCCTTGCCTCCCCGGTTTTCGGTCCCCACTCTGCCACCTGGCCCATTCGAAGACAAAACTTAGCAGCGCAGAAGCGTCCCAGCCCGCTCTCCAAGCTGCGAGCTGACCACTGCGAAACGGCTGCGAGAACCACTGCGAAACGGCTGCGAGAGGCGGCTGGGCAACGCAGAGCAACAAGTGCCTCCTCGCCCGCTGGTACCTCGAGAGCCCCGGCCACCGGTCCCCGGTCCCGCCGCCCGCCCTTCGTTACAGACCTTCCCGTGGGCCGGCAGCCCCCTCCCGCCTAGATGGGGGTGGGAAGGGGAGAGGAAGAAGAGAGAAGGGAGAGGCAGGTAGAGGGCCGTGTCTTTGACCTGTTGTGGGACCAAAAGTTAAAATGGCACCAACCGGATGGCTCCATCTCGATTGCTATTTTCTCACTCAGAAGGAGAAATTTTAAAAATCCAAACAGTACTGCGGCTTGGCTTGGATGCTCTCTAACCAGACCAGTCAGTTTCGCCACCTGAAAACTAAAGGCCCATTGTTGGCGGACAGCTCGGCCGCCCTCCTCGCCACATCCCAGGTGGAGCCGCTGGAGCTGGGGGCGGCCGGGAGCATCCCTGCACGGTGGGAGCGAGTGCCCAGGCCACGGGGGGCCCCGAGCGTCCACTCCCGCAAGTGCCATATCAGTAACCGATCGGAGAGAGACGGGATGGACAAGCGGGGAGGGGCGCGGGGTCTCGGCCTCGGTGGTGAGTTTGGGGCCCCGCGGTGTTGCCGCGCTCGGGGGCGCACTCCAGCGCCGGCGGCAGCCACTCCCGCGCCTCACCAACACTTACTGAGCGCCCGCTGAGCACCCCACGCGGCCGCGGGATGAGCCTACCCCTTAGCCAACCAAGCTGCCTGTGGTCACTGCTATCACCCCGCTATGAGAAGAGCGAGAGAGGCTCCGAGAGGTTCGGTAACTTGCCCAAGGTCACAGCGCTAGAAAGTGGCGGAGCCGGGATTCGCAGCCAGGTCTGTCTGCCTCCAAGTCCGGCGCTCGGCGAGGCAGGGACTTCGTGTGCCGCCCGGCCCCGCCGCCGGCGTTTATAGGCAGAGGGGTGTGTGCGTGGGTGTGCGTGTGTATGTGGGCGTGGGTGTGGGGGAAGAGCAGAGGTCGACCGGGCAATAGAGGCAAGTTGCCCGAATTCGTTAACTTCCATCCCGCAATTCCGCTGAACTCGGCCCGAAAAGCCCCTCTCGCCTCCAGCTCCCGAAGGAAACCTGAGCTTTGTGCAGCCCCGGAGCCCGAGCGTCCAGATGCTGTCCGGGCGATTAGCAAAGTCGGTAGAAGCCAAGCTGGAGAAAGCGCGGGCGCGGGGAGAAAAGGTGCTGCCGTATCCCCAGGAGAAGCGGGTGCCCGGCCCGGCTGGCCAGCAGGCGGGCGCGCTGGCGAGCGAACCGGCTCGCTGGCAAGCGGG